CCATAATAAATTAAATTAATAATTCAATCGATTAGTGTCTTTTATAAATAAGTTAGGCACAAAGCTAATCCAAAGCCAATAATAAATCGGCACAAAAGATCCAGTCTCGAGAAATAAAAGGACAAAAATTATGATTAAGAAAGTGTCTTTTGATTTTTTATTTTTACAAGCTGTATCCTGCCACGCTTCCCTGTGGTACATTGCTCCGAAAACTTTATAAGAACAATCTGTGAAGCGGTTTGTACATCGTGTTAAAATTTGAACTCAATCGGTATAGAACTTTTTGAGATTTTAACTTTATAATTTATATTTATTTATTTTATTTTTATACTATTTATACTACTATATACGGGAAAAGATAAATAATACACAAAATGTTTGTAATTCATCCAAATTTATTTTATCACCTACAAAGTATGCTCCTTCAGAAACGATACACTTACGCCAACGAATAATCCAATCATCAAAACATTTTTTAAACGCCGTTTCCGGAATTGAGTTCAGTTCTCGCCTGGTCCATATCTGGTGAATATGGTGGTTGCTCGATGGTATTTGTTGAGTGTTTGGTTAAAAATTCGTTCACAATGATGGCCTTGTACGAAGGCTCATTATCGTGGTGCAAAATCCAAGAATTTTCTTTCCACAAATCTGGTATTTTTTGTCGAATTTCCTCTCCTAAATGCCGCATAAAGCTCAAATAATATTCTTTATTTACCGTTTGACCTTCCGGCAAGAATTCCAAGTGCACAACACCGCGGTAGTCAAAGAAAACAGTCAACATGACTTTGACTTTTGATCGACTTTAGCGTGGTTTTTTCGGTTTCGGTTCAGTTGGAAGGCGCTACTCCGAGGTAACAATGCGTTTCATGAATGTTGGGTCTTTGACTCTTTTTTGTTGGTCTTTGAGAATTGACTCGTTCTAGCATGTCCTCAGCGACTCTCATGCGATTGAGTTTTTGGAGAAAATTCAGGTCTTTTGGACTAGCCGAGCGGTAACATGTTTCATACCCAAATGATTAGTTAAAATGGAACGGATTGACTCGTGAGATACAGAATGTTCGGCGGCTATCTCTCTCAAAGTTGAATGAGGATTTTCAGTTACTATTTCCTTCACTTTTGCGATGTTAACTTCAGTTGCAGACGTTGATGGCCTACCTGAGCGAGGGAAATCTCCCATCACATCTCGACCGCTTTTGAACGCTTTGTACCACTCATAAGCACGTGTTTTTGATAAAGTCGATTCACGGTATGCTTTCTGTAACATTTTCAGTGACTCCGAACACGAAATTCCATTTTTGATGCAAAATAATTCAATACAAACTCTTTGTTCGATATTTTTGTCCATTAGGAAATTAGTAATACACACTAGATATGATATAACTAAAAACAGCACTGTATTTAATATAAGAAAGAGATGCAATTCAAACTCCGCACCAAAATGGAACAAAAATTTGAATTTAGAACCATAAACAAATCATGCATTTCCGATACTTTTTTGACTGAATGTATGCATGCATGTATGTATGTATGCAGTTTAGCTAGGATCTAAGAAACTGTTAAAGATTATTCTCCACAATCCAGCAGCAGGTACTTTATTTGAGGCAATGACGATCTAAAACGCAGTCACGTATTCTCTCTTTCTCTGATCTCACTTTGAAAGCAAACCTTAGAATTTGCTCATTGCCATGAATTTTAGAGTATGTTGTTTTCTATGAAGGGCATAGGACAAGTCTTTGTCATAACTCTCTGCCCTTTTTTGTACCAGCGCAGGCACAAAATGACAAACAACCAAAAGAAATTGAACTTATTAGTTAGCCATACCTAACCGAATAATCCGTAAAATTAGTAATAGTTCAAATAAAATTAGATTACCTGGGAAATAATTAATGCCAAAACTGGAAAAGCAAAGAACAATATAGACATTCCAGTTTCGACCACAGAGTCATTGAATTCGTCCCCCACTATTGCAGAATCTTTATTGAAAGAGAATATTTAGATTTGTAATACTTAGTTTCGATTTAGTCGTATCACCGATAGAGATATTGTTAAAACCTTCAATTCTCTTAGTGTTAAGAAAACCGCCGACCTTTGGGGTAATGCTGTACAAATAACAAAGTCAATTATTAGCGTGCAACTAGCACCAGAGTTGGCCTTAATATTCAATAAGTGCATTGAATGTGGTGTATTTCCTGACCTAATGAAGCATAGTAAGATCATTCCTGTATAGCAAGTCTGATCCTATAAATTATAGACCTATTTCAGTGTTACTTGTGTTGAGTGTATGTGGTGTGTTGTTGTTCAGTAAAAATCTTGAGAAAATAATACTAGACGAGCTGCAAACTCACTTTAGTGTAAACAATATTCTACACAGGAAAAAATCTGGCTTCAGAAGAGGTCGCTCGACAAGTGATTCTGGTGTTGAGCTTGTGGTAAGTATATTTGGAGCTTGGGAGGATAAACGGGATACGCTGGGTGTGTTTTATGATTTGTCTGAGGCATTCGATTGCGTTTTTCATGAAACATTGATCAGAAAATTGCATCACTATGGAATAAGGAATACTGCTTTGGATCATCTTACATCTTATTTGGGTAATAGGATCGAAAGAGTGGAAGTTAATAGACAGAGGTCCCTCGGGTCTCTATGGGTCTCCGATCTATGGGGGTTCCGCAGGGTTCAATTCTCGGACCATTTTTGTTTCTCGTTTATATAAATGACCTACCTAACCTGATAAAAGATATCAGGAGATAGCGCTAGTTGCGGATAACACTTCTCTTTTATTTAAATTAAAACGACAGCAATCAGTTACTGACGATGTGAATTAATTACTTACTTTCTCCAGGACCGTGAACAGGTTCAAAGTTTAAACGAGAAAAAAACTTAATTTATTTTCTTTTCCACCTAATGTTAAGCAGATAAAAACAAGTGTTCTGATAAATGGAAAGGAGTTAAATTGCAGTGGGCCCACATATTGATGGATTGTCGAATACACTCAGCTCTACAGTATCCGCGGTTTATTAAATTCGTCAATGAACCGATGTAGAAACAGCTAGACTTGTGTATTTTAGCTATTTTCATAGTGTAATGTCATACGGTATTTTGTTGTGGGGAAATGCTGCTGATATTCAGAGCATATTTGTGTTGGAAAAGAGCGCTACGAGTATTCGCGCAATTTATAATCTCAGTTAAAAACTTATCCCTCAGTCACTGAGTGATAAGTTTAAAGAAATTGGTATTATGACAGTCGCATCTCAATATATTTATGAAAATTTTGTGTATGTTAGAAAAAATATTCATTTATTCACAAAGTTTAGCGACATTCATAATATAACCATTAGAAATAAAGATAAACTCGTGTTGCCAACGACTAGACTACAAAAAGAAAGCAAGTCTTTCGATGTCAGGGTGCCAATATTAATACTAATACAATAAAATGCCAAGCAAATTTCATTAATTAAGTATTAACAAATTTAAGTCCTTAGTTAAACAAAAGCTATGTGAAAATGCTTACTACACAGTTACAGATTCAGATGCAAATTTGCTTATAATGATAGTTAAAAATTTAGTAAGTTTCTGGTGGTTTTGAGTGTTTCCACGGCCTACTCAAGTGTCCTGCAGGCGGTAGTGTCCTGTTCCGGGCTGTTGATCCTGACTATATCGGTTAATCTACACAACGGCTGGGGATTGTATGCCGTCTGTATGGACGGGCCGACTCAAAACTATGGTCCTTTCTTCAAAAGGCCAACCTAGATTCTACACTGCACTTACATAGTTCTCATTAACATTGTTCACGGACTTAAAAAAAAAAGACACGTCTGTGGTTTGTTTCGGTGTTTCTTCCCAGAGCAAATCTTAGGAAATCATCATCGTTTCATTTCATCATTTCATTCCAATAAGTGAAACATTACAACGAACCTACACGCCTTTGGTCAAGATAATTGTTCACCCAAAAAGTTAAGTGCAAAAAATAAAACTCAGTAGGCATTTATACACGCCACACAGTGAATAGCATTGTGGCCTTTAACATTTTTTTATCCTTTTAATTTTTATTAACAGCAAGTTTTGCTATAAATAAATTCTGTCTCACAAGTGCGGTTTTCCGGAGTACATTGCAAGTATTGTTTTTAATTCCCGTGGGGGCGACTAAGGGAACAAACTACGCAGAACAACAGCACTGCAAAGAGAAGGAAAACTTGAAACAAACCCTATACCAACCCGTCTGGCCAGCGTGGTATAGTAGGCCAAACCCTCCTTTCTAAGGAGAGGCCTATGTCCAGCAGTGAACTAGTAATGGCTGTTGATGATGATGATGATTGTTTTTAAAACTTAGTAAGTAGATGTTATCAAAGATATCAAAGTAAAATAAATACCTAGACGGTATGTATTAAGTTGACTGAGTAATGTGATCTGTTTTAGTAGAAATCTCAATGGTTATGCATTAGAGTGCTTGTTATAAGTATGTATGTAATTACCGGTTACCTGGTAGTAAAATTTACGTATAATATATTACAAAATATAAATAACAAGAGGTAGGTAAATATTTAACTTCACACTAATCACGACGATAAATTGGAGCTATACTTAGATTATTACCTTAAGTAACCAGATATCCTATTATATTATCGATTTGGGGCCTGACCTTTGGGCAGAATATTAAGATGGTCTGACTACACTATTTCAGTATTCCTTACGATGTCCCTTAGACCGTGTACATATATGTGTGTATTCCATGAGATCGGAGTAGTAGAACTTTTACCAAATTAATTTAATTTTTTGATATTTTATTTTTATTTTATTAACCAGCTACCTACCTTTTAGTAACATGAATAGCATTTAATTTGAAAATAAGTTGAACTATAATAGACTCGTAGATATCTTAATCATGATAGAGTATAGCTTTTGAAAGAATATTATGTCTTAGTAAATTGTTGTCAATTTAACAATAAATTGGTCTTATTTAATCCATATAATTGTGAATCTAAAACGTTTCTATCTTTTCCAGCTCTCTATCCATACGCCTGGGTGCTTTGGGGCTGCGGACTGCCTCTTTTAATCGTAATATGGATACTCTACGCCATTTCCTTGCGTTCGGCCATGCGACATTGGCGGGATTTCGTCAGTTACATAGCAGTTATTCTCAGTGTCTATCCTGTAAGTAAATTATGTAACTACTATTATTATATTACTAGTTGCAGCCTGCCGACCTTCGCACATTGTGATTGCATTGATAAGAAATGAGGAATAAAACTGACGCGAAAAATAGATTAAAACAATCTTTGAGCTCAATCGGTGCAGTTTTTGAAGCGTACACAAACCAGGTTTTGGCCTACTATTATGTTACTAGTGCATACATTATTCACTTTTAAAACAAAGTAATTGTACCGTGCCATGATGCATATCACATAAACAAAACAAGTTTGCTTCCAAGGTGGATACAAAAGTGCGTGCAAAGAGTGAGTCACTATAAAGTCACTATTCGATTAAAATTGAGTCAAAAATGACAATGAAATCGTGGCGTTTAATTTAAAACTAGTCAACTGTAACAGAGTTCTAAATTGGGGATTTTTTTACTGGGCGGATATTCTGAGCAAATAGAATTTTCGTTACTTGTTATTCGCTTGTTATATATTTAAAAAAATATAGATTCTTGCAACTAAGTTCAAACCATATGACTTAGATATTAAGCTTCTATTGTCATTGCAATTTAATGGAAACGCTACATGATTCTAACCATAGTTTTAAAATTAATTGTAAACATCTTATAAAGCCGATTTCTGTTATTACTATACTTACTAAACATCTTACTCAGCCGATTACTATACTCCGTCCACCCGCGAAAACTACATATAAATCATCAGATAGACAGACAGAAACAGACAGGACAGAGAGGGCAGAAATCCTAAAATCGCTGATACGCTCAATTACTCTTCGTAATCTCCCCTTTTTTTTTCATTTTTGCAATATACAGACATGCAGGATTTTTTTTGAATCCTAACAACATTCTCAAAACGATCACTTACATATAGATTTCTTCAGAAACTTCAGTTTTTAGGTCTTCTTTCGAGTTATCTAAAATGTTAATAGCGATTTGGATATGAATATGGATGAACACTCGGATTTGATGGCAAATTACAACTTTTTTTAGGAACGTTTTAAAGTGTAAACGATGTGTTTTCCAATAAAATTCTGTACTCAATGGTTTGTCCCACCTTAGATGAATCCACATGATAAAAGCGTGCGCCTTGGGAAGCTACACAATCATGGAATCATGACATTCTGCAGAACGAATTACGTCATGTTCTTAATTAACAATAAATGTGACTGCATATTATACATAAATTAGCACACTCTGGACTGGATAGTTTGTGGCCGACGACGATAAATGACATTTGACGTCACGCCCTGATCATTGCGTTCACTGTAAGAGGCTTTACTTTCAAAATTGTATTTCTCCAAAATGTTAATTAATTATACATATTTTATTCAGTGTTATCGATATTTTCTATCTTAAACACCGCAAAAGAAAACACTTTCTTACTAATAATTACCCTATTATAGAAATAAACCTTTAAAAAACTTTTGCGAACTTTGATCGTTATACTCAGTTACTTGAAAGAATATATTAATGGTTAAATTATGAAATTACTGAAAAAAATAAACTTGTTTTTTTCTAAGATGACACATTTATATAAGTACTCAAAATATTCGAGTCGGACTCGCGCACGAAGGGTTTCATACCATTGAAACCCGTAAGATTTAAGTATTCGAAGGGATTCTATAAAGCGGCAAAAAAATCACGTTTGTTGTATGTGAGCCCCTCTTCCCCGGTCCCGCTCCATCGTCACCGTCTCCTTCGCAAGTATGACTTGCCCACAGAAGGAGACGGCGGCGTTCCACGCGCTCTCGCTCTATACCATGGCCGCAATCATGGTACTAAGCTTCTGCCAGCGTGTGGAGCGTCGTGTCCACGATCTGGCCATCGTAGTGGTGACACCCAGGCGTTGGCTCCCCGACCGAGTTGGTCCCGTGATACCTGTCGAGCCAATTTCCAGCCAGAACAGGTCTTACCCAGCGCCCAGCGCTTGGTTGCCCAAGGCGTTCCTTCGACTCCTCCACGAGGACCTGATTACTGATCCTCGAGACTCATGACTTCGACCCAAATCCCGCGACGCCGTGCGAAATTGATACAGAGCCTCAAGGGCTCTCGCATACAGGTCATTCTTTAACCACTATTAATATTATACTTATAATATTATACTAATAATATTATAGATAAATTATAATATTATTACTAATAATATTATAGATAAAAACATATTTTGCCGTCTGTATGACGGCAAAATATGTATGTTTTTATGAAAATGATTAACACCTATCTTCTGATTGCCGAAGGTCTATAAATCTACTAAATTGTGAAGCTTGCAGACATGGTCTAAAAAAAGGAGGGAAAGCAGTCACGTTTAAATAGTGAAAACCTTCACTTTAATTACTTTATTTTAATTCTTTATTTACAAATTTAATCTTAAATATATTTATAGTACCTCACTCGGTGAAATGCAACCAGTGTTCTATGAGGCAGTAGTATCATTAAGGTCGATTCTAATTATAAAAAAATAAAAGTAAATTTAAAAGGAAAAATAATAAAAATTAGCTATACCAAATTTCTTTTTCTAAGTTGATATAATTGATGCCACTTTATTATATAAAAAAAAATAGTTTAAAAAAACTAAAGAACACACTTTTTATAGAAAACCAAACTAAAATAGTTTTTTTTTATAAATTAGTGTATTGTCACCGGTCCTCGATATATCTACAAAGTTTGAACGAATTCAGGCAAAATTACGCCCAAAGGAGTCGGTTACAAACAAACATACAAACATACAAGTGAGGCTAATATAAAGCGTGTAAAATAGCCATCAGGCTAACAAACTGTGAAACAAGTCGTTTGCTTCATCTGTTTCGTGTTTTAAACTCATTCATTAGTATTTATCAATGTTAAATATAAAAAACAATAATGGTTATAATCATTTATTCTAGTATAATACAAGATAAAATTAGAAACGTCTGTCTCCGGCACGTCATTGTTATTTCACAAACACAATGTTGCGTAACTTGGGCTGGCGACGAATACCTAAATGACGCATCAATGCCGTAGGATTTCAAAGCGACGTAAACAAATAAGAAAGTTGTAAAATGATAACGATTTTGGATAGAACTTAGGCCATTATCATTCATCATCTAACACTATAATGGACAAAGTTTTGGAAAGGATTAAAGAGAGATATTATTATATGTTTTGCTTTTTCTATCAACGACATTCGAACTCTTCGTTCTTTAATTCTATCAACAACGTTATGACAACAAATTTTGAACGTGATGAACTACTAAAATAAACCTATATCTTATTCCTGTATTTTTAATGTACCTATCATATTTTGTGCAGTGTACTTACATGTCTAATAATGTATGTGTTCAGTGTGCTTATTTATATGAGTTTGTTGGTTTTAATTATATCGTACTGCAAATTGCAACTCCCCATGTCACCTTAATTTTTGTCACCAAGTGCTTAGTTGCCTGCAAGGGATCGCAAATCGCAGTTACGCAAGATACTACAAGTTAAAAAGTTACTACAAGTCCGATAAGGCAGCCAATTGCACAATTTTTTTATATAACGCCTAGTAACTTCCAGATCATAAGAATTATACAAATGTGTACAAACTGTTATAATTATGTGGACGTTTGTGTATTGAATGCAGCGGACTCCATTTTGAGCAGTTGCTTCGCTACAGAGAAGTGTAAATAGTGTAATACTGTTATATTATTATGTTTTTTTTTCTTGTACAATAAAAAGTTATCCATCTAAGTAAATATCTAAATCTCAGTTTTCCTCTTCGACTGAGGTTCTCAGAATTTAGATTTGTTAATCTCAATGTAACACTAACATTGAATGAGATAACCATTACCTTGCTAAATTATATTATTAAGCAACCTATATTAATGTCAGCAGTACGATTGTTATAACACCAAAGAGTTGACCTCAATATTAAGTAACTTTAAGCCAACGTTTTCTGCGAACCGTCGAGAATAAAAGTCTTTAAATTATATCTATAATAGATATTTTTAATATTAACTCGGAAGTAAACTTTAAAAAAGATAGTAACATCTGATTAACTTAAAGTTTGAAGACAAACACACAAAACAATTGGAGAGACAAAACTGGTTTTCTCTTGAATTTAGTTGTATGTTTCTAGGTCAATGTGAAGAACCGTGTTGATTGGTATTTAGAAAAGGAAAAGTTGATAAAAGAGATAGTAAGATTAGCTAGCTAGAGTTAGTTTGCTACATTGATTTGTAGGATAAACAAATAATTATAGTAGTACGCGCTTTTGAAGTGTTGATAGCAGGACTTGAATTACCCCTTCTGTAGAGTTCCTCCGGCCTCCTTATCTATGCAAGTCAAATCACAATAGTGTTCAGTATTGCACTATATTGTTAATGATAATGTTAATGCGATTTTTCTCTCGTGGTGTCAGTTTGGAGCAAATAACAGTCTACATGAGATGTCTTTATCATGTCCCTTTTTCAAAAAGTAGCAATAGATGAAATCACGTAAAAACTTCTTTAATTATATTATCAACCATTGTCACAAGTTTACAACAATGGTTCTAAATACTAATTAGGCAATTAATAAAACTTTATAGTTTGTACTTGACCCTGTTATAATCGTAGGCAACGGTGTTAACAATGAGAAAGAAACTCAAACATTACTTTAACTGCTTTCGTCTTAGTGGCACATACATATTTACACTGTACATAGTACAATTGCTATAATATTATTTTATTTCATTATAATTTCATTAGTAATGTAGTTTTAAGAAATAAAAATTTTTTTAGTAATATTTTTATGAATGTAATGTAAATGTTGTAAATGTTTCGGTTGAATATTTTAGAATATATTAAAACATTACAAAATAGAGATAAGTATTACAAAATTGTTTTTTTAGGCATTTGTAGATCGGTGTTCCTGAACACAGATCTTTGGGAAACGCTAAGCATATTTTTAGAAAGATATAGGTTGGCCCACTACTAATAGAAAAAAAATTGTAAAAGTATCAGCTTCAGGTATTTTGTTCATAAAAGAGAGATAAGAT